TACACCGTTTTTTTTTCCCTGAATCTGTGTTACTTCACTTAGTATAACAGTTTCTAGTTCCATCCATTTACCTGCAAATTTCATCATTTCATCTTACTTTACTGCTGAGTAAAACTCCATCATATAAATAAACCACATTTTTATTATCCGCTCATCAGTGAGGGACACTTAGGTTGCTTCCATCTCTTAGCTATTGTGAAAAGAGCAGCAACAAACATGGATATACAAGTGTCTCTGCAATAGGATGATTTCTTTGGATATATGCCAAGGGGTGGTGTAACTGGGTCAAATGGTAGGTTTTTAAGAGTTCTCCACACTGCTTTCCAAAGGGGTTAAACAGGTTTGCAATCCCACCGTCAGTGGATGAGCATTCCCCTTTCCCACATCCTCTCCAAAATTTGGTATCACTTGTTCTCTTGGTCTTAGCCAGTCTGACTGGGGTAAGATGAAATCTTAAAGTGGCTTTAATTAGCGTTTCCCTAATTACTAATGATGTTGAACACCTTTAAAGATGCTTCTTAGCCATGTTAATTTCTTCTTTTGAGAACTCTCCATTCAGCTCCTTAGCCCATCTTTTAATTGGGTTACTTCCTTTCTTGATTCTTTGATTTTTGAGTTCGTTATATATTCTGGATGTTAAACCTCTGTCAGATGTGTTGCTGTTGAAGATTTTCCCCCATTCTGTGGGTTTTCTCTTCACTTCCCTGGTTGACTCCTTTGATGTACAAAAGCTTTTTAGTTTAATGAGGTCCCATTTGTTGATTCTTGACCTACATGGTCATCTCAATAGATGCAGAGATGGCCTTTGACAAAATTCAACATACATTTATGTTCAAAGTGGTTAGGGTTAGGGTGAAGGTTAGGGTTAACTTTAGCCTTAGTTTTAGGGTCAGGGTTAGGGTTGGGATAGGGTTTGGATAAGGTTAGGGTGAAGTTAGGGGTAGAGTTAGGGTGAGGGTTAGTGTAAGGTTAGGGTTTGGATTATGTTATGGTGAGAGTTAGCTTTAGCATTAGGGTGAGGGATACGGTTAGAGTTACGGTTAGAGTTAGGGATAGGTTTAAGGTTACTTTTAGGATTAGGGTTAGGGTTAGGTTCTGGATTAGGGTTAGGTTTAGGGTTTGGATTAGGCGAGGGTGAGAGTTAGGGGTAGGGTTACGGTGAGGGTGTAGGTAGAGTTAGGGTGAGGGTTAGTGTAGGGTTAGGGATTGGAGAGTTAGGGTTAGCTTTAGTGTGAGGGTTAGGGTTAGTTTTAGTGTTAGTGTTAGAGTGAGGGATATGGTTAGGGTTAGGGTTAGGGTTAGGGTTTGCATTTGCGTTAGGGTTAGGGTTAGGGTTAGTGTTAGGGTCCTACCAAAAGCCATTCATAGATTCAATGCAATGCCAATCAAAATCCCCATAACATTCTTCACAGAGTTTGAAAAAGCCATTGCTATGGAAGCACAAAAGACCTCGGATAGCCAAAGCAACCCTGAGCACTAAGAGCAATGCTGGGGGGATTACTATAGCAGACTTTAAACTGTATTACTGAGCTATAGTCATAAAAACAACATGGTACTGGCACAAAAATAGACCAGTAGATCAATGGAACAAAATTTAAGACCCAAATATGAGTACATGGAATTTCAACCACCTGATATTTGACAAAGGGGTCAAGAACATTCACTGGGGGAAAGACAGCAGGTTCAGCAAATGGTGTTGGCAAAACTGGATCTCTACCCATAGAAGAATGAAACTAAACCCCTATCTTTCACCTTGCACAAAAGTCAACTCCAAATGGATCAAAGACTTCAATGTGAAGCCTGAAACTCTGAAACTGTTAGAAGAAAACATTGGCAATGACCTACAAGATATAGGTGTAGGAAAGGATTTTCTAAACCAGATATCAATTGCTTTTCAGGCTTTAATGTCCAAAGTTGTCAAGAAGTTAGTTGAGCACTTTGCCTTTAAAAAGTATTTTGCCCTTGGGGCTGGAGAGAAGGCTCTGTGATTAAGAGCAATGACTACTCTTGCATAGGGCCTTGGTTCAGTTCCCAGCACCCACATTGCAGCTAATAGCTGTCTGTTATTCCAGTTCCAGGGGATCTAATGCCCTCTTCTGGCCTCTAGGGGCATGGAATGCAGGTGGTGCACTTACATACATATAAGCAAAACACATTATCACATAATTTTTTTAAGTCTCTCCCTTTTGGTGGTACTGGAGATTATTCTAGGACTTACTACATGCTAGGCAAATGCTTTACCACTGAGATGCATCTCTAGCTTTCTTTAGCTTTTTAAAAAGTTATTTTATGTATTTATTTTTATGTGTATAAGTGTATTGCCTGCATGTATGTAAGTGCACCCGTGTCCTGTAATGCCCATGGATGTCAGAAGAAGGCATCAGATCCCCTGGAACTGGAGTTATGGGTGGTTGCTAGCCACCATGTGGGTGCTGGGAAACAAATCTGGGTCCTCTGCAAGAGCAGTCAGTGCTCTTAACTACTGAGTCATCTCTCCAACTCCTATTCTAACTTTTTATTTTAATAACAGGTCTTACTACAGCTGCCAAGATTGGTCTTGAACTCACTCTGTAGCTGAGCAGGCCTTAAACTTGTCATCCTCCTGCCTCAGCCTCCTGAGTAACTGGAATTATAGGCCTGTGCCACTAGGGACTGGCAAAGAACATCCTTAATGAGCACAATTATATACAATCATAACAGGATGAGATCCAATGCTAGTCAAGCAGCATAGGTATATAAACATTGCTTCTATTTGTAGGGCATTAAGAAGGAAATACATATTTTGTGGTGCATTTTTGCTTGATAATAAATCAGTAGAGTTTTTTTCCCCTTTTAAATCATATATGTATGGTAAGGTGAGCCGTGGGTGTATATGTAGAAGTAAGAGGGCAACCTTAGTGCCTTCTATCTTGTTTAAAAGTGGGGTCTCCTAATCTTATCTAAAGGAATGTTGGCAACTGATTGCTGCTAGATGAGGAAGAGCTGATCTTCCTAAAACAAGGAACTTTAGATAGGCTGACTAGACTCAGTGGCTGGACTTGTACTGGGTAACAGCTGGGGTCACTAACAACACAGTAGACAGGAACAGGATGACAGAGTATATGGGCTCCAGTGGGGAGGGGGAGGCTATGGGAGGGTGCCATTTGGGATGTGGGTATAAAGATGAGTAAGATTGTTTAGGATGCTGTGTGTGAAATACACACACAAAAAATCTATAAATAAAAAATTATTAAAAGTAATTATTAAAAAGTAAAATAAAAGTGGGGTCTCTCTGTTGCTTATGGCTGTGTGTGCAATATTGAAAATAAACATTACTCATTAATTTCAGACTCTGTTTAAGGACATAGAGTCCTAATTACAAATCAGTTATGTTATTACTTACATAGGATTAGAATTGAAGAAATTAATGTGTCATCCTAAACACAGCTTGTTGCATGTTTTATTGAAAACAGGGTTTACTAAGTAGCCCAGGGAGGCCTCAAACTCACAATCCTGCGTTTGCCTCCCACATGCTAGGATAGCAGGCATGCGCCACCATCTTATTCCAGGTTCTAAATAAGGCACTTTAAAAAAGAAGAAAAAAGCCTCACCTTTTTTTCTTTTGTTTGTTTGTTTGGTTGG